CTGCAGTTAACAAACAGTGCGGCAAATAATACTGAAAAACCAGGATGACTCAGCAGGAAAGATAATCCATTCACAGATGTTTGCAAATCAAAAATTCCAAAAAGCCCTGCCTTGCAGCGACAGCTTCTCATTATCCTTTCTGTAATTAGGATGCAGTTTGGATTTTTCGATTTTTTAAAAAATGTATCATTATCACTCCCTTGTGATTTAGCTACGAATACCAAAGGAGGAACCATAAAAACAGGTTGCTTACCAGTAACTGGTGATCTTCGAGTGGTCATCTGTGCATTCACACCAATGGGTTTAGTGCGCCTGCGCTGACCCGACCGGTGCTGTAGCAAGCTATGTTTCAAAGGATTTTCGCGCGGGTCCCACTGAGCATGCGCAAGAACCCCAGCACGCATGCCCAGAGGGACGGGCGCGGAGATCCCGCCAGTTCCTTCAAAGCACCGCCGCCAATCAACACCTATCAAAAAATTAGGAGCTGACAGCAGAGGGGAAGGAGGGCGGGTGGTGTGAATGAACAGATGACCACTCGAAGATCACCAGTTACTGGTAAGCAACCTGTTTATCTTCTTCGTGGTCTCTGTGCTTCACACCAATGGGAGACTAGCGAGCCATATCCTACCTGGAGGAGGGTGCTGGCAGGATGTTCATCGCTGGGCTGAAGACAAAACGTGACGGCCGATGCTGTCATTGGTGCGTCGGACGTCGAGGGCGTAGTGCCTGATAAATGTATTGGGCGTAGCCCACGTGGCAGCTTTGCAGATGTCATGTATTGGCACACCTTTGAGAAAAGCCGTAGATGTCGCGAGAGCTCTAGTGGAGTGAGCTCTGATGGGACCAGGCAACGGCTGTTTTGCCAGGAGGTAGCAAAGACGAACCAATTCCACTATCCACTTGGATAGACGCTGGGCTGTTATACGAGTCCCCAGGCGAGGTGACGCATATGAAAGGAATAGATGGGGATCTTTCCTAGTTGGATGTGTCCTTTTCAGGTAGAACAAGAGAGCCCTCTTGACATCCAGTGTATGCAGTAATCTATCCTCAGCAGATACTGGATTTGGAAAGAAAGTCGGCAAGAAGACTTCAGCTTGCAGATGGAATTCAGAAATTACCTTAGGCAGGAACGAAATGTCCGGCACCAATCGGATTCCGTCAGGAAGTACGGAAAGGTAAGGGACGTCGTGCCTGAACGCCAAAAGTTCTCCAACTCTCCTGGCCGACGTAATTGCAACCAAAAATGCTGTCTTCCACGCTAGGAGACGCAGTTCGCATGTGGCCAGAGGTTCAAACGGCTTCCGCGTAAGTTGGCGCAGGACCAGGGGAAGGTCCCAAGGCACAGGCGGAGACTTGAGTGGAGGATAAAGGCGAAGTAAACCTTTCAGGAAGCGTTTGGTAACTGGATGGGTGAACAGTGAATAACCATCAACTGGAACATGAAAAGCTGACAATGCAGCCAAATAAACACGCAACGAGGAGTGGGAGAGCCCCGAGTCAGCGAGGGATAAAATAAATGAAAAAATTTTCTCCAGACCCGCAGTGGTTGCCCGGGAGGCATCAGCCCCAATAAAGGAGCAGAATTTAGTCCATTTCTGGGCGTAAGACCTGCGCGTGGACTGTTTCCTTGAATTCAAAAGGACATGCTCTATGCGAGCAGAGAATCCCTTGGAAGTATTCGCCACGCCGTCAGCTTCAGTGCTTTCACGTCGTGATGAAGCACCGGGGAGTTGTGGAGGTGAAGTAGGTCTGGAACGACAGGGAAGTGGTAGAAGGTTCTTCGAGACAGGTCGAGGAGGGTGGAAAACCAGGGTTGCCTGGGCCACCAGGGCGTTATTAGTATCACGTGTGCATTGTCCCTGAGGATCTTGCGCACCACCCTGAGGATCAGCGGAAGAGGGGGGAACATATAGAGGCGTTTCTGAGACCATGGGTACAGGAGACCGTCTCCTAATGACTGGGCATCGTACCCTCCTCTGCTGCAAAATAGACGACATGTGTTGTTTTGAGTCGTTGCAAAAACGTCGACTTGGGGAGTGCCCCACAACTGGAAAACTGGGAGCAGGTAATGTGGTCGTATTCCCCACTCGTGAAGACTGAGGCCAGAGCGGCTGAGATGATCTGCCTCTATATTCTGCTCTCCCGGTATGTGAGTTGCCACCAGGAAAACTTCGTTGGCTGTGCAGAATTCCCACAGATGTAGAGCTAGTTTGCATAGACGCCTGGAAACCGTCCCGCCTTGGCGATTTATGTAAGACATTGCCGTAGTATTGTCGGTCAGAATATTGACGCATTTCCCTCTGAGTAGAGGGAGGAAGCTGGTCACTGCATTTTGAACAGCCAGGAGTTCCAGGTAGTTGATATGGTTTTTTCGTAGACTGTGATCCCATGTGCCCCCTATGGAGCATCCCATGGAATGAGCGCCCCAACCAGTCATGGAAGCGTCGGTAGTAAGGACGATTTCCGGGGAAGGGAGGTGAAACGGGGCCCCTTGTAGGAGGTTGGAAGGCACAGTCCACCAGCGGACGGCGTCTCTGACGTAGGATGGGGGAGAGAGGATGACGGCACGTGCCTCCATGTGCGGCTTGTACGATTGGAGGAACCAGAGTTGTAGTTTCCTCATTTTGAGTCTCGCAAACAGTAGCACTGCATTCGTTGCAGCCATGAGCCCTAGAAGCCTCTGGACGTCGTAGGCCGTGACGGTGGGCTGTGTGCACACCCGACAAGCCAGAGCGATTATGTCTTCTGCCCTGTCCGGGGGAAGATAGGCCATGCAGTCTTGGGAGTCGAGTATCGCTCCTATATATTGGATACGCTGGACTGGGGAAAAATGGGACTTGGACGGATTGACTTGAAGGCCCAGTTCGGACAGCAGGGACAATGTGAAGGAGACGTTGGCTTCTAGTATCTGTCTTGACGACGCGACGACCAGCCAATCGTCGATGTAAGGATACACCGAAATCCCCTGGAGCCTCAGGAAGGCCGCGACCACGACCATGGTCTTTGTAAACACCCGTGGGGCACACGACAGTCCGAACGGGAGGGCAGTATACTGAAAATGCTCCCGGCCTATCGCAAACCGAAGGTATTGACGGTGGAAAGGGTGGATTGAAAGATGAAAATAGGCGTCCTGAAGATCCAGGGTAGCCATCCACACATCTTGGCGGAGCAACGGCATGATTTGCTGAAGTGATGTCATGCGGAAACGTCTGTACGCCACATAGAGGTTTAGGCCACGGAGATCCAGGATGGGCCGCAACCCTCCGTCCCGTTTTGGGACAGTAAAATATCGGGAGTAAAACCCCTTCCCTTGGAGGTGTAGGGGCACAGGTTCTATAGCCCCTTTCTGCAGAAGGAGGGAAACCTCCCGAAGGAGGGGTTGGGAGGGAGGTGTACGGACGAAGACTGGTATTTCGGGGTTCTGCTGGAATTGAATCCTGTATCCATTGGTCAAGATGGAGAGGACCCATTGGTCGGAGGTAATAGTACGCCATACATGGAGGAATGGAGAGAGACGGGTCAAAACAAGGCTGGGAGCTGACTCGGGGATAAGGAAGTCAAAAACCCTGCTTGGAGGGTTGTTTAGGTTGTTTGGCACGAGGTTGTTGCTGAGTCGTGCCGAATCTTGGCTTTTGGTAGGTCTGCCTCTGGGATCCGGAGTAATTCCTAGGGCGCCATCTAGGTTCTGGAGATTGGTGCGTCTGATTTCGCCGTTGCCACGGCCTTGGCCATGTGCGGGACCGCTGTGGCTGTCTATTTGAAGAAGACACTCCCAGAGCCCTGGAAGCCTTAATGCTCTTGTCAAGCTCTTGGAGGGAGGTATCGGTGTTGGAATGGAACAAACCGAGACCATCAAAAGGCATGTCTTCAACTTGTGACCTAGTGTCAAAAGGAAGGGCAGTACTTCGAAGCCACGAGTGGCGTCTCAATGCAATGGCGGAAGTCATAGTGCGTGAAGAAGCTTCCAGAACATGCTTAGATGTCGTAAGCTGCTGTTTCGCCACTATTAGGCCCTCTTTTTGAAGAGATTTAATCTCACCCTGGTGGTCCTGCGGAATGGCGTTAATCAGATCAGTCAGCTTTTCCCAGAGGGAATATTGGTAACGGCCCATGCAAGCCAAGTACGTGGATTGTTTGACAGCTAATGCGCCTGACGAATAAAACTTGCGGCCAAAGGTGTCAAGCTTTTTGCCCTCTTTATCCGACGGAGCAGTGTGAGTACGTCGAGACTTAGACGAAGATGTTACAATCATTGAGTTAGGAGCTGGATGAGTCATCAAAAACTCTGCCTCTGGATCTTGGATCTTATACATGTGATCCAGCTTTCGTGTGGATACTGGAGCAGAAAAGGGATTTTTCCACGGTGATTTAGCGGCCTCGACCAAAACGGAAGACATAGGGAGGGCAATGACAGAGGAAGTGTCCATTTGAACCACGTCATATAACGTGTCAGTAGACTGGGGAGGTTTCTGAGTGACAGAGAGATTCAACCCCACGGCCATTCGTTTGATAAGGTCCGCGTAAGCATGCATATTATCCGAAGGAGAGATAGGCAGGTCATGGGCAACATCCGGAGTAGGGGAGACGTGATCCGGAGACGTAGGCACCACGGAATCATCTGAATCTGAACCCTCGTCCACCTCGTCCGATGAGTCTTGCTCTGAATCAGTCTGAGGGGTGATATGGACGAGTGGCACTGGAGGAGCCGCAGGCTTCGGCGTAGGGACCACCGATTGCGTCTCTA